CGACCCGGACTGGAATCCTTCGACCGACATACAGGCGCGAGAGCGTTCGTGGCGCCTTGGACAGAAGCGAGAGGTTGAGATATACCGGCTGATGTCTGCAGGCACAATTGAAGAGAAGATCTACCATCGTCAGATTTTCAAGCAGTTCTTGACGAACAAGGTGTTGAAAGACCCTAAGCAGCGACAGTCATTCCAGATGAGCGATCTGCATGACTTGTTTACTCTCGGTGTTGAAAATGTTGAGGGTGAAACCGAGACAGGCAACCTATTCCGTGGTTCAGAAGTCAAGTTCGAAGAGGATGGTAAGATTGCTGAGGCTTCGGCAGATGCTACAGGAGCCGAAGACCTCGCTGCAGTCAAAGGCATCTCGCGATCCGAAGCCTTCCAAGCCCCCGTCTCCGACGGTGAGGATGCTGCTGCTACCACTAACGAAGACGGCACCGACAAACCCCCAACAGATTCTCGTCTGATGTCAACCATCTTCGCCAAAACAGGCGTCCACTCCGTCCTCGAACACGACGCAATCATGAACTCCACAGCCGGCGGCCGAAAACGGAAAGTTCAAGCCGACCCAGCCTACATCCAACGCGAAGCCAAGCGACAAGCCGCCGTAGCAGCCGAGCAACTCAAAAAGAGTATGCAAGAAGCGCGAAACGTGCCCGCCGGCACACCAACATGGACCGGCCAATTCGGCGAAGCAGGCCGACCAGACGCACCCCGGGGCATGCCATCCAGTCGTGGCGGCAGAGGTGGACGAGGCGGCGGACGCGGCGGCGCCCCCTCATCAACATCCATCCTTAACAACCTCGCCACCCGACAAGGCCGTCCCACGCTCCTCAACCCCGGCACCATCCTCAATGCACCCACATCCGCCAGCTCATCCCGCGGGTCCACACCCTCTGCGCCCACAACACCGCAAACTTTCCGCGGCCGCCGCATGCTAGAAATGATCCGCGACTTTATGCTTACTCACGGTGGCGTAGTGCCCAGTCGTATGCTAGTTGATCATTTTGATCATTACTGCCGGGCGCAACCGGGAAGGAACGAGGAGTTTAAGGAGATGCTTAAGTTGATTGCTACGCTTGAGAAGAGTGGGAGTGCGCAGAGGGGGAGGTGGGTACTTAAGGATGAGTGGAGGACGCCTGCTGCGGGTGCGGCGGGTAGGGGAGGTAGAGGGAGGTAGATTAGAGATGGGATAAAAGACGAAGAGAAGGAGAGTAGATGATTGAATGGTGGAAGAGGCTGAGTTTAGCACGGCATTTTACGGCGTTTGATATAGGGAGATACCATTTGTAGTTTTCTGTTTTAGCGCATTCTTGCCAAGTGCTGGCATATTATGTCATAGATGGACAAGACCTTGTTCCGTTAGTTAGATAAGACGTAATGTCAAAACACTCTTTGAAACATACATAAGCATCTCGCACGCATGAAGGCAGGAATTGAGGATTACATTGAAAGCTACATTCTCTTTACTCAAAGAAACACGATGACGCCAACTCTGTCAATCTCGTACATGATACGAAAACAGGCAAGTCCTGTGTGTGTTGGTCGGAAACCCTCGTCCAACCAAGCAAATAAAGTGCTGTACATGGCACATTGGAATGCGCGGTGTATGACGCCTAGACCATTCTGTGTAGAGCTGTTCCTCTCCCTCCTCCTCTGGTGTTACGTCGAGCTTCGCCGGTGCGTAGAGCTTCACTGGGAAGTCGTTACATTTGGACCAGACGACGGAAGAGAGATCGTATCTGCTTATGCCCAAGCGCCTCGCCCAAGCTTGAGAACAATGGAACTGCGGAGGGCGCTGGATCCAGTCACACATTTCGGCGACGGTTCGTGATCTTCGGGGACTCTCGAATAGGTATTTGTAAAGAAAGCCGCACCTTTTTTTTTGAGGGCTTTATTTGATTTTACGCATGTTTTTGTAGGGTTGTCTGTATTTTGTCGTGGTAAAAGACCGCGTATGTAGTTGAGGAGATTGGGTTCAGCGGGAGTGTTTCTTGACGTGTTTCTGCAAGTTGTCGAAGCGCGTGAATGACTTTTGACAGCCTGGAATTTGGCAGGGGAAGCGTTCTTGTGCTGCTAGTGGTCGATGTGTCTTAACGTGGCGGGTTAGATCAGCTCGAAGATGGAAGGATTTGGGGCAACCGGCTATGGTACACCTATAGCGCCGTTGGTGCTTTCGGTTGATGTGGTCGCTGCGTGGTGAGTTAGGTAATAGTACGTTCGAGGCAAGGGCTGTACGTACTTGAGGTCGCAGTGCCGATTGTAAGTACATTCACAAAAGCTGCAAGGTAGTTTGTGTACCGCGTCTGTGATGTTGCGTTCAGGGCTCGTCGAATCTTCTGTCAGAGACGAGGCTGACGGTTGGCTATCGTTGAAACTATCTCCTGAAGTTGCAGGAGTGCTCGAGACAGACTGGTCGTCAACTGCAGACGAAACGGTAACGTCGAAAAGATCCGTTCCTGGTATGTTCTGGCTGGGATCGAAGCTGGTAGTCAGGTATGGAGCGTGTATAACAGGATTGATATCCAGTTCAAAAGCAAAGGGGCTGAAGGAAGAAGAATCTGAAACGTCGCGAGAGAGTCCAAATCTCGTAAATGACGAAGTACAATGCGAAGAAAGGGGAATGAAAAGAAGGAAAGGCGAAGACTATGGTCGTCTTCGCCGACGGCTGTGTAAGGTAGGCGTGAAGCCTAGGGGTGCGGAACCCGAACGCCTTGCGGCGCGCTGGGGAAGTTTGGTGAAGCAGAGATCTGGGGTAGTGTAGGTCTTGTTGAAATGGTCTTGGAGATTTGAAGGTCGAGAGCGCGGTGGGAAGAAGAGAACTTCCACGGTTTTAGGTCTACCTTATATCTGCGCGGCATGGTCGCGGAGGCATAGAACATACCTAGATACAATCTTGGAAGGGTCAGTCTCAGCCACTGCGCCCAACGCCAGTAAGCAGGCCTTTAGCGAATGGCTGTTCCACATCATATCTTGGCGTACACAGCTCAGCCAATGTGATGTGCCCTGTCGCTGTGTATGCCTCCATGCTGGGTGGTACACGTGGAATGCTTATCCGCATCGGGACCATGCCCGGGCGTCCTTCGTTTTGGCGCATCATGCCATCATTACTCGTCGTGCTCGCCTATCGGGTCCATGGACATCAACTCTTGAAATTGCAACCCCTCGATGGATAAAGTTCAAAGAGTCGGGTATCCGACATTGCGTTGCTATCTACATCCATAACCTACAACTTCCCTCGACTCTTCGCCATCTCCTCTTCCAAAATCATACCAATAGGCCCACCACGACTTCCATCACCAGCCCACTGCTCCTCTGGTATACGCTCAGCGGGCCACTCCCAGCGGCCCTTGAAGTCCTCCGGTGTCCTGCCCTCTATGCACTCCACAATGCTATCGCCAATAACGGGCAAGAACTTGAAGCCATGACCTGAACCGCCTGTCGCCACAAACAGCCCCTTGTACTTCGGATGATACGAGATCAAGAAATCGCCATCCCTTGTATCAGTGTACCAACAGATTTTCGATTTTGTAAACGGGCGCGACGGTACGGCGAGCGAGGGGTGGATTGCAGTGAGGAAGTCTCGGCATTGGCGCTGGCCTTCTATAGGGACGGCTTGTGATGGGTCATCGACGTGCGTGTAGGGGAGTGAGGTTGTAATCGTCTCGTTCGGGTCTTCGGATTCTGGGTGTGGGATTGTAGTTGGGTTGAGGTAGCCGTGGCCGTGGCGCGCTACTTTGAGCAAGCCCTTGTGAGGCGGTATCATGAACAGGCCGTGGGAGAGGTTGAGGATAGTCGGTCGCGGAGCCATCTTCGTTTCCTCCTCCTTGGAGATGGGCATGTAGCACAGCGCCTGCCCGGTGGCTTTGCAGATGCCTCGGAGATCGATGAGCGATGCCGTCCATGCGCCTGCCGCCAGCATTGTAAGGTCCGCCTTCACTTCGGTCGAATCATCAAGCCTCACACCGGAGACAGTGTTGGTTTTGTGATCGATCAACAGCTTCTTCACGCCCTTTGTAACAAACTTCACCCTCCCGAGCTTCTCCACCTTTTCCCTCAACCACATCATCGCGCCCTCTGCGTCTGCCCAGCCTGAACTCCAGTTCACGTATCCGGTGCAGCCATTACCCCAGGGGTCTTTGCCTTCCAGACCACATGCTTTCTGTATTTCTTCCGCCGAGTTGAGTACTTCGACTTTGTCTGTCCCTATCGCGCGAACGTTTTCGAGCGAGCTGGAGACGTACTTCTGCTCTGGGCCCCATGCGGTTACACATAACCCGACCTCATGGTAGTATTCGGTCGCGAAGTCGGTGCGCCAGCGATTCTGTGCGATGGTTGCGAGACGGGTATAGCGCGCGGCGGCGTAGTCGGGACGGATGATTCGTGAGGCATCGATCTGTATGCGTTCGCTTGAGTGTTTGGTCTTGAACGAAGCGGATGTTCCGATCACTAGGGAGTTTACTGCTCAAGGGTATGGCGTCGAGAAAATTTAGATTGAATTGCTCTACTTACACTCGAGCCATCAGGCGTAGGGAAGGGCTGACGGTCTACAACAGTAATTGAGGTATCCTTGTACTGCGGGTTTTGACATAACGAATAAGCTGTGGAAAGTCCAAATGCACCGCTGCCGACGATTAGGATGGATGAGGGTCTCTCAAGAGATGCAGAAGAAGCCATTGCGCGAGAAATTAAGACGTTCAAAGATTCAGCAACTGGGCAAAAGAAAGGAAAGGCATGGAGAAAAGTCCACCTACCTGCGTCCGAACGGCGTGCAAGTGCCGCTGGTGGGCCGATATCGTTGACTGACTGATGATTTCAAGGGCGTGCGCCGGCTGGGCACGGTTGAACCTCGTGGCTGCAGGGAGCTTTGACGCTACCGAGAGATTGGGTCATCGGTGCATGGAAAGATTTGAGGCTTCAATTCGACATCGACAGCCTCACCAATTGCACCTCAACGTCATCTGCTGCTGAATTCTTTTGGGTCTCCCTGCATCACAATGGCAAAGTTGCCGAAGCCCCCGAAGGCGTTCCCTGTAAAGCACACGATACCGTCGAAGCCCGCGATACCACAACACATACGAATACAACGAGCGCAACACGATAACGAAGTACCGCTATATGCTCCAAGGAACCAAACACCCGAACAAGCACTGAAGAGAGTGCTGGCAGCACGTCCGCGGCTCTCAGATCTACAGCGGCTTTCAGACGAGGAACTGAAGTCGGCGCAACACCAGGCAAAGCTGCGGAGAGCGAGACAATGGCCAATGTTCGGTATTGGGTTGATCGCATTTGGATTGGGCACATACGGAACCATGCTCTACGCTTCGTTGACGCAGGAAACGGATCTGGGCAACTTACCTGAAGACCTGTCCGATCGATTCGACAAAGAGGCCGAGGGCTATGACGAGAAAGTGGACACGTCTGAGATGCTGCTCTTGTTGACTTCTAAGCGCAAGAAGCTTACTGCCATGGCCAAGGGACATGTGCTAGAGGTGGCCGTTGGTACGGGCAGGAACATACCATACTACAAGACCAAGCAATGTGCGACAGTGACGCTGCTCGACTCGAGCGGGCCCATGCTGGCTGTTGCAAGGCGGAAGTGGAACGACACGCACAAGGAGTACTTTAGCCGTGTCTTCTTCAAGCAGCAATCTGCCTTAGATCCGATTACGCCCCCATTTGATGCCCAGATTGGCTACGATACGGTGATACAGACAATGGGACTCTGCTCCACGCCCGAGCCCGTGAAGCTGCTCCAGAATCTCGAGTCGTGCACCAATGAGAATGGACAGATCTTGCTTCTAGAGCACGGCAAGTCGCATTACAAGTGGCTCAACAACATACTGGACAAGTCAGCTCCAGCCCACGCGGACGAACATGGTTGCTGGTGGAACAAAGACATCGGCAAGATTGTCGAAGAGAGCGGGCTGGAAGTTGTCGACATAAAGCGCTATAACTTCGGCACGACATGGTGGTTACAGTTGAGGCCCAGGAAAGGCATGCGGCAGAGATTGGCCGAGACCACCGCAGTCGAGCAGCCGCTTGCTGCACAAGCCGGATCCCCGGTAACACAAAAGTCCTGGTGGTCACTGTGGAGATGATAAGTCGCCGTGTCACCTTCCCCACATTCACCATGATCGAGAATGATCGAAATGTTGCAGCGCTGCCGCTATTATGAACAGTGCGCCTAAACTTACTCCAAGTCCACTACCCAGGATGTTGCGCTCTAGCAGCCAGCTCAGTTATGTCTCAAACGACGTCAACTTTACGCGTTATTGTGGAAGGAGGGGAAGGCCCAAAGCGGCAATTTCCAGATCGCGACCATCGATAACCTGGGATCCAACAGAAGGTCAAGCGAGATCTGCGGTCGGGATCATGGGCAAAGGACAATCGCGTCACGGCAGACTGGAACGCGACATGGCTCGCCCGAACTTTGTTCTGTCTTATCATCCGGGCACGCCATGCGTTTGCATGTGCGTCGGGTCTGATGCCATACCGTTGAGCACGATGGGCTCGTACCTCGTAATCATCATGCCGAGCACACCCAACGACACGTCCATGGCTGACATGCATCTTTATCAGTGTCGACGAGGTTGCGTGTGGGAACAAGCAAACAAACAATGCATCTTCACCGTCTTTCACGACTTGCCAACTTCCTCATGCAGTCCACACTTCGTCTGGGGAAGATACGTAGCGCATCCGTGAATCTGTCTGCCCACAGGACAAGTGCGGCGCCATACCTTCCAGTTCCCCACAAAAGGTGACGCTGTGCTGCGCATGCAGACCGGACCTGGTTCCATGCGCCTGTCTCCATTGGGTAAAGACATATGCACAATCCCTGCGCAGCCATCGGAAGTGATGGCAACTCGCGTGCGCAATGTTTGGGGGTGTGGTCGCAATGCGGAGTGGAGGCTGATGAAACTGATGTGCCAGAAGATCCAGCTCGGCATCCATCATCACTGTGCTTTTTCCGGGCATCAATGCCACTCGTTATCAATGAGTTATCAGTGAACAAGCAGCAATCAAGCCACATGTGCTGAGAACGGTTTTTGTCGTTCGCGTATTAACGTTGCCGAGGGTTGGCCGCATGCCAGTAGGAAAACTTCCGTTAAAGAAAAATTCGAGAAAAGTGTGCTCACCGCCCTGGGGCATCCCGGTTGCAGCGTTGAGGCTAAATCCACTTTGACGGCTAGGCGAAACCTCAGAACAGGGATGTCTCCGCTCTGGAACAAGATGATATGCACGCTGCATCAGATCATGGCCAGCGCCCGTCCACTCGCATCGTGGCCGTTTGAGTGCTTGGAGACGCGGAAGATATTATAGCGGTCAGCGTGCGGGACAGCTGTGATGACCCGCCCAATTGCAGGTGGGAAGGATGCGCGATGCTCGAACCAGACGTGTTGAGCATGAGATCACTTGCGGGAAAGCCGTCTCAGGGCAGTAGACGTTCGTAATCGTTGGCGGAGGTTTGTCGGCAAGGAAGCATCCTTACCAGCTCCGTCTAGCATGTGCCACTTATTGCGCGCTCGGAGCATGATGTAGAGAGATCCAAGTGCGGTGTTCACTGCTCCGGGCTCAGCTGAGACCATCTGATGCCCGAAGCTTCACACGGGCAGAGGTGCAACACAGACGGCCCAGATTGACGGGATTGGTCAGGACAACGAAGCCCGTACAAGACGTTGGACAGGCTGCCGGAAGGTTGTGCCTAGAAGTGTGCGGCGAGTAAGTACCTACGTTAGAGGACTCTACCGTGTGGTACATGCAGGCAGGCAACGGCATGTTGATAGGAGCGTTAGGCTCTAGCCCCTGGCCAACAAAGCAAAAACGGGCTCTAAAAGTAGTATGCTGTCATAACCAAAGAGGCGATCCCTGGATACATTCACCCTACTAGACGCACGGTCTCTTACCGGAGCCTAGTCGCTCCTTCTTCACTGTGTGCTCCACTACGCCTCCGTTCTTTCCCTCGTCGCATCCCCTCTTCCTTCACCACCCCTCGAACTACATCAGGGCCCGACATCAACTGTCCTGTCCCATTCCGTTTCCCCTTGCCTCTCTCTGTTCTGTTTCCTGATTCCCGTGGTGTTGGCGCAGCACTTGATTGTGTTGCCATAAGTATTTGGTTCGAGCTCAAGGCAACCGGGCGCCATCGCCGAGTTACGTATTCACTCTTCAGGAGGCGAGCCGCGTAGCTGCGACAGGACGGGTGCCACTCAGCATTCAACACCGCCAGACATCTCTCGCAATAATCAGGCGCTCTTTTCGACGCCAAAGCCTGCAGTGCAGACAGAAGCGCACGCTACCTGCATCTCGGCGGCAGCGTTGGTGGTATAGGCTGCATTGCATTCCTACCGGACCAATCGACGACCCTGGCATTCGCGCAGTAACAAAACACTTTTGGCTGCACACCCTCTGCCAGCCTCAATAATTATCTTGTCCCCCAGAAGCCTCCCTTCTTCCTTCCTCTTCCCCTGCGCGACGTTTGCGACTGCATCGCCGCTCCCACGATGCCCTACAACACACGCCGGAAGTCGCTGTCGCTGCCATCGCTCGGCATCCAGTTGCCAGGAGGACCGCGATCCGCGCGCTCACCGCCTTCGACAAGCGACGGCCAGCACGCCGCAAAGAAACAGAAACGCTCCCACTCCGGTTCTCTCTCATCGGCACTCCCCTCGCCATCACGCCCCGCCGCACTGCGCCTCGATGAGCAGCGACCCAAAAGCTCAGGCCGGGTGGCAGACACCCCGCCACCGTCGCCAGGCGGCGAGTCCGGCACGACCAAGATCGATACCCAGGGCATCGACGACGAAATCGTGGTCGGCGTTATCGAACAGCTCCAGAAGACAGGCAACCGTCCCCACCTGCTGAAAGAACTCGCCCTCGTTCTATCGCCCATCATTCCCATTGTTGAGAGGTACGTACCAAACTTCCGCCATCCACGCCCTGACCACCAGTTACTCATGCTGACGTACTCTAGCTCCGCCAACCCAGCTGCCATTATCTCGTCACGCTTAGCGACCTACCTCAAGCGCAATTGGACAGCCCTGTCGAGATGTCCCCTCGACAAGAAGCTCGTTGGTACCCACCCCAAGCGTGTCTACTACTTCCTCTCCACTTGCCCGCATCAGCCTATCCCGGCCGATGGAACTAGCACCGCCATGGCACCACGCATCGTCACCCCATCGTTGTCGTCCGCAACTTCGGAAGAAGAGGACGCGGATGCGAGGTCAAGAGGTCGCATGTCACCGTCGCCCGAGCTAGACCTGTCCGACTACGACAGCCACGACAGCGACCCCTTCTCCAAGCAGAGCCATCTTCCCACGACTGCAAACATCTCGCACAACCGCCGAGCTCAGTCGCCGCCTTTAGAAAAGGATGAGCGCGAGTTCACCCAGACTGCGTCGTTCCTGCAACAACGCCGCATGAGCCAGGAAGCTGAGCGAGAGCGATCTGCCAGCGCATCTGCCGAGCCAACACAACAGAGCGACGTCAAAATGGAAGAAGTCGCCGTCTCCGTCGAGGAGACCGTAGAAAGCGCTGCACAAAAGGACTCGGAAGCCGCAGCCGCCCTCTTCGGCCAGATGGACCAGCTCATGACCTTCCAGAGCGCTCTATCACCCAGCAGCCCCGCGCTGAAACCCGTGCTCCACATCGAAATGCCCCCGCCGTCACTCAAGCGCAAGTCGATAAAACTCGAGCTTGACGACGACTGGATCATGAAGAGCCCGGAGCTTATTGACCTTGACGAGCTTGATGACCTTTTCGGCGGCTACTAGGTCGCTATTTCCTTGCGCGATTTTTCTCTGTATACGACATTTACGATTCTCCCGGGGCACGTCTCTCATCATTTCCTCCTCTATCTATTGTATTCTCTCCTCATGTCGTTTCATCATTGCGTATGTCCTAGATGGATTCCATTTCGCCGCTCGCGCTGCACTACACGCTCTAGGGATGTTGATTTATCGCATGGAGTTCTTGAGATCTGGGTGTCTAGGAAGGAATTCTGTAAGATAAATGTAGAGTGTAGCTGTGCGATTACCAGCCAGGAGGCCTGGCTGAGGCGCTGGATTGTTACTCGGCGTCTGAAAGCGCGAATCTGCGACTAGGTGTTGGCCAGCATTTTCCAGAATGTGGCAGTCGCCCATGGCGACGAGAAATGAAGTAAAAGGAACGGAACTACTAGATAAAAGTTCATGAAATTGAAAAACAGTTGATATCCTTCAAAACAGCTCATCAAACCAAGTCTTGAACGAATGTGTCTGTGATGTCGGCAATCTCGATTGTTGCCGACCAGAGCTGGTGGGCCGGGTTGTCCCCTACCAACACGTACTCTGCGCTCACCGCCCGAGTTGCGCACTTCCTGCACCTAACACTACACCTGGCAGTGGTCTAACGCATAACAGCGCGAAAATTGGGCCCTCACCGGCAGGGCCATCTGCGCCCAATGCGGCTCCTACGATGCGGTGTATCCTAGCCCCAGACAGGAAGGGACAGAGACCTTGGCGCTGCGTTGTTGATGAAGTTGCGGTCGAGCGAGATGCGCTGGAGAACAGCCTCACTTTTGACCGCACACGCGCACACCAGCGGGGTTACCGAGTAAATCTTTGCCTGCTGCTCCAGATTCTGCTCATCCGCCTGGTAGAATCAACAATCCCGAGGGGTAATCGCATGTTCGCAGACAAGAGGCTGGGTAAGCGAGTCCAATGACTTGGGCACCCCCAGCCCTGTACAGCAAAGCTTTGAAGCCGAAGCCCAACCACTCGACGTAAGAGTGCGCTGTGCGCTGCGCGACACGTCCGCCCTATTTCCTTTCCCATATTGACCATCCGGCCCCCTCGGTTTCACGGATTCCTGTGCCCTGCGTCAAAGTGCTTGCTGCAGGTTCCCGAGGCTGATGAGGAAGCCCGTTGCCTCGCTTACTCCCGCCCATCAAGTTTGAAGAGTTGGAACGGAAGAGCTGGAAATTGTGAAAAGAGGAGGCTGGGGATCCGCGACACCCTCATTCACTGCCCATCCAACGTGCGATCGCTACGAAACGAAGCGCGTCTTCCCGGCGTCTTTGCAGTGGTATACGAAAGGCCATTCGCGGACATAGCCCAAGGCT